AATGTTTTGAGAAATGATGTACAAATGCGCTTTACACAATTGATGTGTGTATGGATTGGGATAACAGTTGTATGAGCCCCTAATAAAATATTAAAAAATAAATAAATAAATAGATAGATAAATAAATAAATAAATAAATAATTACCTAAAAAAAAAGAAAGAAAACAAATTTCACATAACTGGAGCACAGAAAACGGAATTCTAAGGCCAGGTGTGTTGCTCAATGGCTATACAATCCTTCTCAAGTCATTCTGTTCTTCTGTATTTCATTCAAAACACATCCTGGGTGGTCAGTGACAAAAAAATTAAAAATTACATAAAGATGCACACACACTCACAATTCCCATTCTGGAACCATTCATAATGTGAAAAGGAAGAGAGAAATACATAAAAATAAATTAATATCATAATAGTATATAAAATATTATATCCAAAGTACCAAGAGAGCTAATGTCAAATAAGCTAGAGCTACTAAATAGGCTTATTTGGGAAAATTAGGAAAGAAATTGTTTTCCAAAACTAAAGGTTTATGTACCCCTAGATAGCATTTTGAATATTCCCTTCAAGGTTGTAGTTTTAATTACTCATGGCCTTCAGTTCTTGCTCTAATCACTTCATTGACCTAGTTTAATAAGGTTCTAGGAATCTGTAATTTCAAAGAAATGTTGTTTTGCTCCTGGGTCTCACCTGGAAATATTAGATATGCATAGTTAAAGGTCCTCCCCAAGCATATTTTCTCCAAATAGTTTAGATCCTAGTATACCTTTCTTTAAGGAAGTTATTTTAAAGCAGTACAACATACTTGAGATTATTCATATATAAAATATTTTTAATCACAGCTGTATTTACAAATAGAAGTAAAATTATGTCTTGCTGTCAGTAAAATGAGGTAATTTTCAGTATGAAATCATGTATTGGTGATACTTACAAAGCAGTTCTTATCAAGATTTCTTTTCCAGTGCTTCTTGTCTAATTTTTTGGCTGAGGTGGATCGTATAGCTGCATGAGTCTGCGATCGAGGATTTAAAGCCAGGATGCTCTGAAGACAACATAAACAATATGAAAGTCAATCCATTATCAGTTTTTAAAAATCAACATTGTTGTTACATTTGAAGATCCCACCCACAAAGAAAAGATTAGCTGAGAGAAAAACTCTTATACTGCATTAAGTAGGGGCGAGGGGGGAGCTAAATGTGATAACACAAATTAAAATATTTGAAAAAATGATGTTTGCTGAATAAAAGTGAAAAAAAAAACTGTACTTGGTAAAAAATCTTAAGTCCAGTATGAGAATATCTAGATACAACAAAAATTTATATAAAAAGGTGAGAAAGATCAAATTACTTTTAGAACAAAAGCAACAAAAAATGGGGTATGAATTACAAAGAGTTCAAAATATATAGTATAAACTATGACAAGTCTTTTCAAATAGTTACTTTAGTACACACTGATGATTTATACTGAGTGAAGTAATTCCGGTTATGTTTTCTTCCGACTTGTCAGAATCAGTCCTTGGCAAAAATTGTTTCTTTGAGGAAAGCATGCATACAAATACACGAGTCAAAATAACGAAACACTTCAACTTAAGCAGAGTAGAAGAATTAAAATTATAAGTGCTCCAAGATAATCCAGTAAGCATTTTTCCAGATAATTCTAATGCCTTTTACATTATCAAAATCTGTAAGCATAATAACTGAAGTAAAAGCTGAAAAACAGAAATTTGGGACCACAGAAGTTCACAAAGAAAAAGTTTTCTTTCTTGCTGTTTTGTCCTTATCAGTAGAGAATACAAAAGTGCGTTTGTAGAAGTTAAAGAAGTATAATTTGGTTTCAAATACAAATGAATGTTCAGCAGCTATGATCGTATTAGAAACCACACTAGCCAGCTTATTGCACTCATAATAAAGGGTGTTCATCACAAATGTCTTCCTCCTCAAGAAAGGCTTTCCTGTCTAATCTAGTCAGTCTTTCCTGTTCTTGACTACTCAAAATTATCTTTACTATCAAACATATCCAATGAAGCAGTGACTATCTTTTTATGACTCTTTCATCCTTCCTAACCTACATATACTTTAAGTGAAAGGATTAGAGATTTATTAAAAGAATTTAAATCTCTGATATGCAGCACCTACTACATGGCAGATGCTCATGCCTTCAAATAAACTATTCAGAAATCACCAACACTTTTTTTTAACCACAGTTTACCATGCATGTAAGTTTGGGTACAGCACTGTTCATGTGGCTCTCCACTTCCCAACATGCAACATGGTCGACACCGGTTGCAAGAGGATGCCATGCAAATGAGTGAAATGGTTGGTACAACGTGCTTCCTAAACTATAAAACCAAAGCAGAATGAACCCAAAATAAAACCAGCGGTTGTGCAACAGCATTTTTTGTGACTTGTTCATGCAGGGCAGAAGAAGAATTTGTAAAATATCTAAAGAATGAAATTCATATGAGGCTTCACAAACTCCATGGTCATCTTCTGATTGTAATTGTGTGATTTTGTGAAAATTAATGGGTCATATTCATCTGAAAATGAATCTTCACTGAAAACAACAAAGCACTTATCAAATTGACCCAAGCAAATGAAGAAAAATGTAGATTATTATACTCTTAAAAATATGTTCAAGGTGTTTTTCCCATTGTACTACTGTAATTCCACAATAAAGTAAAAGTATCTATCTGAATTATATGCTTTAAGACATTCTACCTAATATTTTGGAAATCGGTTTATTAATGATTAAAGGGAATTTTTAGAAACCATATAAACTATAGCCAATGACTCTCCAAGATAAACTTTACACTCCAATGCTTAGTTAAAAATAAAATCAAATTTTATTTAAACATAGACATTTCAATGCATTCTACATTTGTTTTAAAAAATGTGATCCATTTTAAGGTTTAGAGTTTATAAAAGGCATTCATATACACCCAATTTAACCTATAAACATCAACTCTTGCTAATCTCACGATCTTCGGTGAGCAAGGAAGTTGTAGTTGGGTCAGTAACCTGCTCAAGATCTCACAGCTAATATGCGAGGGGATGACTTAATGATGAGTGTTGGGCTAGTGTCAAAAGGATGCCAAGATGATGTTGATAGTAAAACATGGCGTTGTGAGATACAAGATAGAAGGGAGAACTTTTATAGTCTCTTGTGAAAATAACATTATTTTCACCTGGCACCTGAGCCACTTGATAAAGAATTGATTTCAAAGCAGTGTTTTAAGTCATTAAAAAATAACCACTAGATGTTCTGTATCGGCAATGGTGACTTCAAGAGCTCCGTGAACCCACACTTCAGCAAAATAAGCATAGTTGCTACGATTTTAACAAAAACTATTTAAAACTCTGGACCTTATCTTAAGAGCAAACAGCAAGAACAACAAAACCATTATTAATGGAAATCTACTGAAACTTGGTAAAGAGAAAGTCTGACACTGGAACCACATCTCCCAGTTAAGCATGATAGAAATTAACCTCCAAGTGAGTACAAGCAAGAAAACAGAGTTCCATGTTCCCCATCTTCCATTTGCAGGGAAAAACTGGCAGCATTTCTCATTCACCACCCTCTTATTTCTGTTAAAGAGGTTAACCTCCAGGCAAGTATAGCACAGAGCTCTGGGTCTCCCTTTCTGCAT